TGTCAAGCCAGCTTAACAGGCTGCTTGCCTTAATACATGGGAAACAGTGTTACCCAGGAGATAACCCTATCAAATTCCAGTCTTCCACCAACATTAAACAAATACAGTAAGTGCAGACTATCCGCCAAAAGACGAACACAGCCCGCTTAAGAAAAAAAAAAGTGCTGTCTCCCAAACCAAAACAAAGTTTCTTTAAGGATACTGTATTTGAACGCAACAAAGTGAAATGGCAATAAGCTGTGTATTTGGAAACAAAGAACAGGCAACTGCAGAAACGTTCCTCTCTGTAAATCTGTGAAGTTGCTACAATTGCCTGCTTTGTATTTCCAAACAAACTTTGTTGGCTAATGCACAATGCGGAGCTAAAGTTTAATATTTCCTTGGCTCTAATCACTTTATCAATAGATTACAATATTAATGATTTCAACTGAAGGTCATTATGCCCTGTACAGAAAAGTAAAATTGTACAGTGGAATCCATTGTTGGCATTTTGCATGCAGTATATTCAAGGTTAAGATAACACTCAAGAACAACTGACAAAGAAGTCTTGAAAGATATTTTTGCAAACACCGGGAGTGATGAATTGTGCAACAACAATGGCTGCTGGAGCATCACCTACAGTATAATAGGTCCTCAGTTTTAACTCAACTAATCCAAACAACAGAGCATGAAGCCATGTTGAGTAACCTATACTGGGTAACACATTGTGACTCAGACACCAGGAAGTTCATAAAACCTTAACCACTGTCTGCACCACATTCACAGCCTCCCCAAATTAGCGCAACAGAGACAGTTTGTTAAGTATTTTTGAACCAGCAAGGCACAACAGCACAGACTCTAGGTTTTTAAAACTTTAAACCTACATCAGCCTTTTTGTACAAACAGCAAGACAGCACTTCTCAAACCAAAATACTAAACTGAAAAGGCATGGTTAGAATAGAATGGAGTAGAAATTAAAATGAAAGCATTTTTTGAGCATTTCAGGAAATGGTAAAATGGGAACTAGCGATTACTTGTCTCAGACTAGACCTACATCTTTGCTGTGGACAAATCACACGTGGTACTGGCTCAACCATATGTAAATGGCATTCTGGGGGTAACCCGTTACCCCAGTTCACCCCTGTTCTCATCGCAGAGAAGTCCTTTTACTTGGCAACGGCTAGATTTCTTTGTCAGAATCACAACATCTTGTGTTGCAGCTTAAATGGCATTCTAAGCTCTTTTTTGTCTGAATTCGAGTTAAAAAAAATAATTAACTGCATGGTGTAAAGTACTCCCAACAGTCCAAAACTGGAGCTTAATGACATACAGGCTGAGCTCCAGACATATCTATAGGCCTGTGTAAAAAATAAACACGTTTCGCAGGAAGAAAAAGGTCTCCTCGGCTGCGAGCTTCCACTGCTTATTATCTCTTCATTAATTTGAAAGGCTTCAACCAGATTTATGAGTGTAAAGTCTGCCACCTTGTCAACAAAAAGTCACATGACCCAGTTCCTTATGCAGC